TCTCTCTCTCTCTCTCTCTGTGGCCTTAGCCAAATGTGAACCGGCCTGCCGCAACGGAGGAGTGTGTATGGAGCCCAACAAGTGCCTGTGTAAGAGCGGCTACTCTGGGGCCCAGTGTGAGAAGAGTGAGCACGGTATGCCCAACGACCAGGAGAAAGACGGCATACTGGACCACATCATTGACATGACCTCGTACCTCCTAGACCTGACCAGCTATATCGTATAGGGGTGCGCGGAGGGGGGCTGCTCCCCGCTGTCATCCTCAAGTTGAGACAAATCTACCTACCACCACCAGCAGACTCTAACGAGGTGTCCTTAATATGGCCTCTTAATCTCCCTCACACCCACGCAGGCATGTGTATACACACACACACACCACACACACACACACACACAAAGACACACACACAGGATCCACGTCAGACTGCTTTTCATCCTCATCACCAAACTCTTCCTCTTTCGCCTATAAGCTACTTGCTCTTGAGCACCAGGCCTGGCATCCAAGCCGTGTTCACTGACCTGCAGACAGCAGCATGGCCAAGTTATGGAAGTTCCACTAAGACATTTCGTCTGTCGTTCAGAAAACGCTTGCACACGGCCGACTCCGCGGGAACAGGAACTCCACAGGAACTCCACAGGAACAGAACATTTTAACTCAAGACTTTGGATCTTTTTCAGGGGCTATCTGTTGCCTTACTTAAGACCCCTCAAACAAAAAAGGAGTTATAGGCATTGCAGTGGAGACAGTTGATTGTTCAGAGGTTCTTTAAGGATTCAAAATTGTGAAGAGTGGCATGGCTCAAGGTTCAGTTTGTGCTCATGGTCCGTTCAAAAACCCAAGCAAAATAAATGTCTACATATACAGACTTTGAAGGAACACTCTGCACCTCTGCCTCAGTTATTAAAAGCTGAGAAGTCAGTGAGAGTCAAGGGTCACATAGAGCCTGCAGTGCTTTGTGCTATACTATTCTAAAGGCACTAATAAAAGAGAGATGAACCATGTTGTCTCACTTATGATGTTGTATTTAGTTTGTGGGCACATTGTCATAAAAAGCTAACAGTATACAGTATGTATACCTTATTTTGCAACACTCACTCGCTATCAATGTACAGAATGGATCCACAATAGGGGACTGTTACCTACACAGAAATAGTGAGAACATTTTGTCAAAGCCAGTTTCATACAATCTGAACGGAGTTATTGGCTCCCATGCACTGTATTCATTTTTTTGTTTCATTCACTTTATTATTCAAAATGAATTTGTCATTAAAAGCGCAATGAGACACATTCACACACATACACACCACATTTTCAGAGGTATGGTTTGACAAATTCCTTTCATTGCGTCACACACTGAAACTGAACTCAAAACTACAAAGGGAAGAGATGGCGCGGTGATGTATATTTCCAATAGAGCTTACCTAAGTACTACTTAGCATTGCAAAAAAACTATAGCATTACTATTGTTATCATAGAGGAGGGTTTATTTTTTTAAGCGTAATAATATATGGGAGAGAATGGTGTTTATAGAAAGCAGTTTTACACTAAGCTTGTCAGCTCATGTCATTTTCATGTTGTACTTATACATATGCAGCTTTTTTTTCCTCTGTTAAGAAAGACGTGTGAGGTGTGTAAAAGTAACGCATGTCTGTGCCTGCGTAGAGTAATTCGCAGCAGTTGGCAGTCCGTCTAATTCTTCTCCCTGACATGTGGTTTCATTAGCTCTGTCAGACATGTGTCTCTGTTGTGAGATGATCAAAGATCCTGTTGGGCCACCAAGTCACTGTGGAAGCAGTTCACAGTCAGAGGCAGATCTTAAGATTAACATAAGGATCTGTCTAATGGAGATAAGATTGAATGTTTGCATTTGACTCCTACATGTCAGAAAACAGTTGATTGTCTGGAGCCACATTAATGTGTTGTTTCTTTTCAAAAGACAGACTGAAGTTCAAACAGATGCAGCACATACACACACAGCCCCCATTTTCTTTTAAACTAATAACTTGTATTATTGAGAACCCACATTTGATCTTTTGCCATTTAAATTCCATAAAATTAGTCATTTGAGAGAACCGTCAGTCATTGTTTTTAACAGTTTTGAAGGCACAGTTGCAGTTTTGCTCTATTCCAAACTTTTATTTTGAAACAAAGACAAGTTTCCAAGTATCATGGTTAATTGAAGTTCAGTGTCCGTAAAGATGTATTTTGTTCATCTCCCGCCTTGCTTGTGTTTGCTGAAATAAATCAACTCTACCTGGTCAAAATGGAATTCATGCTGTAAAATGGAAAATTATAATTTTTTTTAGCACTTAATGTGAAAGTTGCATTGTAGCTGCTGAGACGGCGTGGTGTGAATAGAATAACCATTTTCATTATTTAAGTAGTTACACAAATAAAATAATTATTTAAGTTCTCTATGTTGTTTTTACCATTGTACTGTATGTGACAATTTTTTTTATTCCTGTATTGTAAATAAAACTAGGGATAACTTTGTTTCTCTACAGAAATATCAATATGTCTATTAAAATTTATAGCATGTCTGAAATATTTGTCTCTCTTTTGTTTTTGGTATTCAGTAGCATGTGGTAAAGCTTTAGTTTAAAGATCTTCTCATCATTTCTGGTGACGTTTGCTTTGAAATTTAATAAATATTTATTCATTATTCATATATAATGTCAAACCTTATTCTCCATATATTAAATTAAATTCTTGCCTCCATTTAAATTTAACATTTTTGCATATTCAGCTGACTTCCTGCATTGTCTAAAAGCCTTTGCAAGTTACACTAGCAATTAAAGTAAGTCAAATTGTGCCAGTTGTCTCTATTTTACCTATAATTAATACCAAATTACATAGAAAATATCTTTCACATTATTAGGAAGTTAACAAAACTGTCACCACAATGCCCACAATTAGCTGTTAGTTGGAGCTTTTCATTGTATCACATGACCATCACTAGCAGATGGAGTCGCTGAGTTGTCAAATTCAGTTTTTATTATTTAGGATTGTCAATTGCTGTTGTCAAGGTGAAGAATGAACCTTTACAGCTTTTGTACAGCCAGGAGGAGACGGTTATCTTAGCTTAGCATAAGGATTAAAAGGGTAAATGCTATCCTGGCTTTGTCCAACGGCAAAAAAAAAAAAGTAAAATCCACCTACCCAGACCTCTAAAACTCCCTAATTAACAAGTTAATTTTGTTTGTTTATACATAACACCCTATGCACGTGGGATTTGTATGAATTATATTAACATACCCGGCTAATTAGGGAGCTTTAGAGGTGCTAGTAGGTGAGTTGTTTTTCACCTTTAGAGTCTTGCTATTGCCCCCGTTCTCAGCTCTTTTGAGCTAAGCAAAGCTAACTGGCTGCTAACTGTGACTATATTTATCTTAGAAATATGAGAATGTGTATCTATTTTAGCAAGAAAGCAAAAAAGTGTACCAACAAAACCACACTCTACTTGTGTGTTAGACACGTCTCTCTCCCCGATGTTTCCTCTTTGTCTCCATGTGATAACGGGAAAGTAGCTTCTATCAAAGTTAAGTTTCAGTCTCAACCATAAGGAAATTATTCAGAAATTACAGACCTGTAAAATAAAGCGTTACCTAAGATTTTGGTATGGCTAAATTCATCATTATTGGATGGTAATTTCATGTATAAGCACCTTGTCTTTGGTCATGGCCCCATACTGGGAACCGTCTCATTTCTGGTAAGTCAGCTGCAACATTTCCACTGATGGTTTGTCCTCCAGCCAGGTAAAAAGAGTAAAGAGAAGGATGTTGAGAAAATGTTTAAGTTAAACTAGGGCCAATGTGGCTCCAGGCCCAGGGTTTTCCCTTTGCTCCTGCTTGAATGGAAAAGCTGCCTGCGGAGCCGACGGTGAGGAGAGAGCCGAGATGGCTGCCGTGTCACCACGCGGCGTCACTTTGAGCAATGCCAAAGTTCAGCCTGAAAATTCCTCATTTAAGGCGGAAATTCTCTACTCTGTTTTTCGGAAGTACACAAACACGTTCACGCATGGAGGCGCACACACACGCAAGAGCCACTGCTGATGGCGATATTAATTTCCTTCTCAAAATACCAATGAGGCTTTGTGTTGTATAATGATAGCGAGTGGAGACCACCCACCTCACTCTGGTCTCGCTTACACATACACACAAGTGCACACACAGCCATATTTAGAGTAATGCAATACTAAGTTGTCTATGCACTGTTCAGATCCAATCAAAATTGCATAAAGTGGAACTGTCCAATAGTGCTGCGAGGTCCAGCGTATATTTGAGTTTATACACTATCTGTGACATGAATCATTACTTTTCATTTGGAATAGTTTTCTTTTTCCTTCCCAAAGGGCCCTTGTCTGGCTATCTTTCACAAACAGTGTAACCCAGTACTTTGAATAAACATGAGGAGCCTGTATACCAAATATTTGTAGGACTGAGATGGTTGGAAGTGCATGCTATAATATTGTATACATGAGTGAAAGAGTCGGCACAAGCAATACTTATAGGGTAACAGGAGGAGACAGGAAAAAACAGGACAAAACAGGAAAAAACAATAGCCCCATGATTAAAAAGAGACACACCATTCATCTTCTCCTCATCCAGACAATTCATTACACTGTATTTACGTGATTTATCGCGTCCTGTGGGACTGTCACTGCCTCGTGTCGTGGAAATCATGTCTAATGGTGAAAGAAAGACAAACAGACATGTCGTAAACCAACCAGACGAGACACTCAAGGTTTTAAGTATCGATTGCAGTGCTAAATGTGTATATGGCCCGCCTAATGTGACAGATAGGTCGTGGACTGGTCGGGATTGGATGAGGTGCTGAACATGTGACTATACAGCACGATGATTGTCTGAACTACATCTAAACAGAACTGCGAACTAATATCCTTGCGATTGGGAACAAAAACGTGGCACCGTATGTAAAACTGATTTGTGGTTTCTTGCACTCAGTGCAGGGCTATACTTCTTTATCCTCTCATGTCGAACTGAGGGCACACTGGATGCTACAGTGACTCATTGTCTCCTCTTGAGGTACAAAGTGGTATTACAAGACAGACAGGCCGGACCAGGCTGGTTAGCTTGCTAACATCAATAGATGTTTCTTCAACACAATACATAGTCTTTGACATGATACAACTGATGATTTTAGTTACATTTTGCAACTATCTGATGTGTTCTAGCTTCACCAGATTTTAACATATCCTTTAATGGATGGTCCTTT